AAACAACCAAACAAGGAACGCAGACTATCTCTCAGAGAAGATGGTGCTGGACTACGGAACCCATGTTATCACTAGTGTTGATGCCGGGGCTTCTTTGGTGCAGGAAGACTATCTCCGTTCGTCATATGTGTCTGACAATGTGTTAGAGAGTTCAACTGTCTCAGCTCAGGCAGGCTTAAACTTTTTTGACAAACTCAAGTTTGACATAAGCAGTTAAAACACCCAACAGAGCTCATCACTCAAAGCGTATCAGACCAATATTACATACTCTATTACCCAGAGCCATGGAGGCATACCTTTCTATCCTGGCATCACTCTGCAGAAGTGGCAAGAAAGTACCAGGAACAACCTGGTTGCTATTGATCGGTCTGGATTTCCCCTCCACTACTTTATAAACACCAACACTTTCCCTGATTTGCCGCAGCCTACAGTTGGCAAAGTGGCTGTTGCANGGGGCTATCACATTGCCATCGTCAAGTGTGCCAGGACAACTACCATGTTCGCTCTGCTCGCATCGACACTTACTGGTGCTCTGTCAGTGGAGAGGCCCCAGAAAACTCAGGGTTTCTGTTTGGAGGCATATACAGCCCCTCTCTCCTGAACCCCCTCACCAACACCAAAAGCTGCCCCCCAAACTTCATCCCAGAAAAGTTTCTCTCAGATGGCCAAGTGATCTGCGTGAGCAACGACTATGAAACTGGCACCAGATTTTCAGTACCATTCGGAGGTCTCTTCAGTTGTCAGTCAAACAACCCGCTGGCAGGGAATCAACGTCGCTGCCCTCCCAAGTTCAGTCAGCACCTCGCTACAGTGAGCGACGGCTGTGAAGTTCTTTACTGTGTCCAGTCAGGACTGTTCACAGGTGGGCAACTGCTTCCAGTCCGTCTGCCTCCTTTCACTAAACCCCCACTTGTCAGCATGCAGGCCACAAACACGGTTATGGTCATGACTGAGGGAGACAAGAACTGGGTCAGAGTGGGGCGGACCAAGGCGTGGAAACTGGCAAAACCAGAGGAAATTGAGGCGATGGTACGGAAGATTAACCCAGAATTGAATCAGATGACAGGTGGTGAAAAGGCAGGGGTAGCCTTTGGGGTAATGGGTATGATGGTACTGGTCATAGTGGCAGTAATTGTGGTGAGGAGAAGGAGGAGGCTGTCTGGGTTTAGGACAGTGAGAGGCTATGAAGAAATACGTGAGGAGGTTGAGCATGGTGAAGGAGAGAGGGAGACACATCAAGGTGAGGCTTAGAGGCTTGGCACGCAGAGACAGGTTAATCTGGTGTGACAGATTTTGTTTTTAACTTCCTTGTTCATTATCACATCAGAAATCACTGTGACACAACTTACAGGAGTGGGAATTTTTCACTTTTAAGGGCTCGGAGTTTGAATCAGTTGGACTTTGCATCAGTAATTATTGTTTTGAGGTGTCTTTGTAACCAAATAATAATTTACATAGCCACATTTTAACAGCTGCTATGGATGATAAATGCTATAGCTTCAACAATCCGTTTATTGGTAGTAATTTTTCCTGATAGCATTTGCACTTAGTGATGTTGCTTTGTATTTTGCACATTAAAACCTGCTCATATTATGTCAAATCTAAGAAATGTGACTCCAGAGCAATCTGTCTTTGAGATAACCACATAGCACAAAGCAGAGGTACTTCCAAAGGCCACAGTGAACCAATGCTGCCCTCATGAGTCCAAGATGCATTAAATCATGTATATAAACATTTTATACTCCATTTAAGAACTTGTATGATTTGCATAACTTTGTACATTGTATCGTTCATAAAATATGTTGTTTATGATTGTTTTTACAGATAATTGATGAACGTTTTGTGAAGCTTTTAGGAAGATTTATTAAGTTTTGTAATTTTTTGTATCATGCAGCTCTTCTGCACTGCACCTAACTACTAATTAAAGTGGCATAAAACAATACAATGACTATGTGTTCATATTTATATTGTATTTATGGTTTTGTGTTGCCCCCTACTGGCTGGAATCAGGTAGCTGCAGTCTAGAAACAAAGGTTCACCTCAGGTCATGTTTCATTATGATCCTTTTTAATGCACAAAACAAAGCAGTGGTCTAACATGAGTAGTGCAGTATGTTTTAAAAAAAGTAATTTATATTAAATAACTAGCAGAGCACGAAACAAGTCATGCAGTTAAATATATATTTTACTGTATTCAGAAACATAATCTCCACACTGGTATCTATGTGTATTAGACCAGTAATTCAGTCACTTGAAAGATTACTTTTTAAAATAAACTTTTCTGTTTTGTTTTTATTTATCTTCTATCATTTTCTAAACATTAGCTTAAGCTTGATTGTTAGGAGTTGTCAGGTGCTGACCCGGTCAGAAACTTCCCTAGACATACCCAGTGGCATACACTCGTGACAGTTCCCAAACTTGTGAACACACCGCTGCTTCCCTTTTTTTGTAGATCTGCTTATCAGAATTGTTTTCTGTCCCTCTTGATAAAAGGAAGTCAGTAAACAATTTGACGTTACCTTATAAGTAGATTAACTTTGAAACAGTATTTCTCAGCCAAAGCAGTGCACCTTTTAACATTTATTCACATAAATCACTATAACTGCAAACAGTCAGTGCCATATGTATTTGGACAGTGAAACAATGTTTTTTGGCTCTGTACGTCTGCACAATAGATTTGAAATAAAACAATTAGTGTGTGATTCGAGTGCAGATTTAAGCTTCAGTTTAAGGGCATTTACATCTATGAACGGCGATGGAATTGCAGACATTTATATTTGTAGTCCATTCTTTGTAGAGACCAAAAGTATTTGGACAACTGGCTGTTCAGCTGTTCATAGGACAACTTTATATTCCTCCACCATTACTCCATTTTTAAATCAGCTGATTAAAGTGCTAGATTTGATGTTAAGTGTGGCATTTTCATTTGTAATCTGTTGCTTAAACTGGGCTGTTGAGGGGTAAAGCACTCGAGAACTAATTACTAATAGAGCATGAAACAAGAAATGCAGTTAAATATATTTTACTGTATTCAAAAAACATAATCTCTGACATACTCCACACTGGTATTTATGTATTATTAGACTAGTAATTCAGTCACTTGAAAGATTACTTTTTAAAATAAAGTTTTTCGTTTTGTTTTTACTTATATTCCATCTTTTTCAAAACATTAGTTTAAGCTCGATTGTTAGGAGTTGATGTCAGGTGCTGACCCGGTCAGTTACTTCCTCAGACATACCCAGTGGCATACACTCGTGACAGTTCTCAAACATGTGAAAACACAGTCACTTCCCTTTTTTGTGGATCTTATCAGAATTGTTTTCTCTTCCTTTTGACAAGAGGAAGTCAGTAAACAATTTGACTTTTATCTTAAAAGTAGATAAACTTTGAAACAGTATTTCTCAACCAAAGCACTTTTTAACATAAATCACTGGGACTGCATACAGTCAGTTGTCAAATGTATTTGGACAGTGAAACAATGTTTGTTTTTTGGCTGAGTACATCTCCACAATAGATCTGAAATGCAACGATCAGTATGTGCTTCAAGGGCAGATTTCAGCTTGGACTTAAAAGGTATTTACATCTATGAACAGCAAAGGAATTACAGTTTTATTTGTCGTCCACCCTTTTAAGAGACAAAAAATTATTTGGACAATTGGCTGTTCAGATGTTCCTTGGACAGGTGTATGTTATTCCACCATTACCTTATGATTAAATCAGCAGATAAAAGTGCTAGATTTGAGTCTAGCTGCCAAGTGTGGCATTTTCATTTGTAATCTGTTGCTTTAGCAGGGCTGTTGAGGAGTAAAGCACTCGAGAATGCATGTTAAGTATCCTTTGGATTAGGAATGCATGATAATATTGGCACGTCATTGATATCGGCCAAAACTGGCTTTAAAATGAACTATTAGAATCAGCCAACATGGTTTTTCTTAATCTGCACAATAAATGAATATCACATGCATTGAAAAGTACTGCATTTCATGTCTCCACCAGGTGGTGGACCGTCATGATAGGGGTATACATGCATAATAAGATAAGGGTAGGTAGGGAAAAAGTGGATATAATGATATCTGTATTGGTCAAATTAGTTGTTACATATTGGCATATTGGGTATTGACAAATAATCCAATATTTTGTATCTCTACTTTGGATTTTGTTGCAAAATCACCCTGAGCCTTTTACATAGAAATGACTCCATAGTCTGTTATAGGCAACTGAGAAAGTCCAGAAAGTTTCAGATTTTAAGATTACGCTGCCATGGGTTCACCCATTGGAAATAAAAAAACAATTGATACATGTAAAAAGTTACATACATACGTTTAATGCGATGTTAATGTCAATTTGTCCAATTACTCTGGGTACCCTGACATGTGGGGTCTATGTATAAAAATAGTAAATGGACCTCCACTTGCATAGCACCCTTCTAGTCTTCTGACCACTCAAAGCACTCAATGGTTGGAATTCCTGCACGGTTCACCCAATTTTACAGTCTAGCCTTAAATAAAGTTGAAAGTCAGAGAAAGCACATACTAATTGCTTTATTACAAGTCCATTGTGGCAGTTTACATGGCCAAAGTAACAATAAATTGTATCATTGTCCTCAATACATATGGAGCTGACTATAAAACATAGATTTATGTCTCTTACCAAAACATCTCCTGTTGCAGGTTTCATAGTATTGGCTTTAAATTGGTTGCATGAGACTTTGAAGTAATTTTTTTGTGATACAGAAAGAATCTTTGTCAGAACTTTGGAAGAGTATTCAGGTTAAAATCTTTTTGGCCGACTAAACTTTTTCTCTGATACTAAGTATCCTGAATATATTTATTTTGGATGAAATAAAAATGCAGACCTGAAAAGAAAAGTAAAACCTTATCCTCACCCACAAGTTCCTACCACACCGTCATATGTTTGTCATATGATAACCTACATAAGAGAAGGAGGAACTTGAAGTAAACTTTATATTCAGTCTTCTAACCCCCGTCTGCCTCAGTCATCATGAAGGCAGCACTGACCCTCCTGGCTCTTGCTCTCCTTCATATCTGCTCTTCTTTTCCCATCAGACACCCCACAAACTGGCTCAGACAATGTCGCGCCTCCACCGACCTCTCCATCACAGCACTGGAGGTGCTGCCGGGCGGAGGCTGGGACAACCTCCGGAACATGGACATGGGTCGGGTCATGAACCTCAGCTACTTCCAGTGCCAGACCACCGAGGACGGATTCTACCTGATCCCAGATGAGGTGTTTGTCATCCCGCACAAGGAGACAGGCGTGGAGACAAGCTCAGAGATAATCAGCTCCTGGCTGGAGCAGACAAGCTCTACATCTCACTCCATAAATGTAGAGGTATCATTCCTTTCAAAGCTGAATGCAAAATTCTCTACAGAGAACAAGAGGATGAAAACCCATCAGGTCAAAGACTCTTCAACCACAACCAGAGTGCAAGTGAGTTTCTTTTTTCCACAGTTTGGATAAATAAAATAAAACAAAAATAATTGTGGCAACAATTATGGATCAAGAGCTAAAATAATTTTGCAAATATTTCGTTAATATATGAAAAAAGTTCTCTAACATGGATTACTTAGAAATTGTACATACTAGTGCTCATTAAACGTGTCTCTAAATGTGTCAGTGTGAGATGGAAGGCTATTTTTTAACTGTAGTTGCTGGACAGGTATTACAGACATCACTGTTAAAAGCAAATAAACAAAATGAATAGAACAAAAATGAGGTGAAAAAAACCCTTACAACATAATGACATGTACTCTTTTTCCTCAAAGGTTCGTAACTTCATCTACACAGTGAAGGCTTATCCAGACTTCACTCTGGACACACGCTTTGCTCAACAAGCCAAAGAGATTGCTGATGCGATTGAAAACAACCAAACAAGGAACGCAGACTATCTCTCAGAGAAGATGGTGCTGGACTACGGAACCCATGTTATCACTAGTGTTGATGCTGGGGCTTCTTTGGTGCAGGAAGACTACCTCCATTCGTCATATGTGTCGGATAGTTCGTCAGAAAGTTCCTCCGTCAAAGCTGAGGCAGGCTTAAGCTTTTTTGACAAACTCAAGTTTGACATAAGCAGTGAAAACACCCAACAGAGCTCATCACTCAAAGCGTATCAGTCCAATATTACATACTCTATTACCCAGAGCCATGGAGGCATACCTTTCTATCCTGGCATCACTCTGCAGAAGTGGCAGGAAAGTACCAGGAACAACCTGATTGCTATTGATCGGTCTGGATTTCCCCTCCACTACTTTATAAACACAAACACCTTCCCTGATTTGCCGCAGCCTACAGTTGGCAAAGTGGCTGTTGCAGTGAGTCAGGCCATAGAGCGATACTACAGGATCAACACGCGGCCTGGATG